TGCGGCTGTGACCTTGGGCTTACCTAGAAGAGATTTCTCCAGTAGTGCAGCAATCTTTAATGTTGTACTTCAGCAGTCCTTTAATATTAAACACAGAGAGCAGAATGCCATCTGGTTTTAGAAACTTGGTTTACACCCAACTCTAGTAGTTCGAGCCAGTGCAGCACCAAGAATAGTTCATGCTAGTTTCCAAATGAGACGTTAAATCAGGGTCATCCTGATTCCAGGAAGAAGCATTTAATCTTTTATCGTAAATGTTGTGTAGAAGTTTCAAAATGTAAGAAAAAGGTATTCTTGATCTGGGGAGGTTATGATGTTGAGTAACTAAATGGGGCCAGTATTTTGAATGGGAAGAATATGATTAATTTTCTAAAAGAATGCATTTGTCAGAGGAGAAATGGCAACAGTAAATCAGTGAGCATATGTTAGGGATGGGAACGAAACCAAAACTGGCTGATGAAGGGTATGAGGAAGCTGCAGTACTTAGGACTGTACAGGACCAAGCAGTAGACTAGTCCCCCGGAGCTGTGTGTTTTCTGGTTCTGGTTACATTTAATAGTCTCATTTACAGATATAAAGGCTTAGGTAAACCAGCTCGTGTTTTGAATAATCAAATTATATGTGAAGAACAGTGCTTTCTAGTTGAATTTTGACTTGTTAATGGTAGCTAGAATCCGGTTAAACTCTTGTTCATGGGTATCACAACTATATTTCGTTACTAGACTGTAGCATATAAAAAACGTAATCACTACAATATTTTTTTTTCTTCAGAGCTCTTCAGTAAAACCCAGCCCATTGAGCTAAACATTTCTCAAAATGAAGAAGGTTTCAATCTTATGGTTTGGGGTTTTTTTAATATATATATGAAATGGACAGTTTCACTCCTTAGATGTTAAAGCAGGAACCTGGCGTTCCACGGTAATCTGTAGTAATTATTTCCAAAGGCATTTTGGAGATGTCTCGGGAACACTTTATGTCCTGGCAATCATCCTGTATTTTCACTTCTGTAAATTAATGGATGCCTTAATGAGTCATTGGATGCATCTTATGAAAACATGTGGCTTAATTCAGGAGTACATCGAGAAATGCTGTATTAAAACTTCAACTGGGCGAGTATCGAGCCAGTGTGGGGGTGTAAGATAAGAAGCTGTAGGTTACCAAGCGAACTTTCCTGTGTACAGCTTAGGACATCTTTTTTTTTTTTTTTCCCAAGAGGGTTCCTAGTAATTCAAAATTGCCCAAGGGCTGTTCTCAATAGCAAATGTAATGTTTTTGCGACCTTGTTGCTTTTTACTTTAGAAAACTAAAATACCTCTATGCTGAGTTTTAAATGTATATAATCTGTCAAATCCCGTATCTTCTCATGTCTGATACGATTTGTTCTAATTTTGTAGCCCCTTTTTCAGCCCTTGATGGTAACTGCTTTTTCTATATTGATATACAGCTGTTTATTCTCTGTTCAGAATTTCTGTTAACACCTTTTCTTAGATGCTTTTCTGCGCTGTTGGGATAAGCAATGATGTGATTCTTTATTTATCCTCCAATCTAATTTTCACTTTCTCTTCTTGTAGTTTTAGCCCTGAAAAGCTCTCCTGTGTAATGCAATAAATCAGTTAGTTGCATTTATGGGTTAGATGAGTGAGTATATCCACAGGAACAAGCACGCGCAATGTGCTGAGTGGCAGTACTACACAATCTAAGAGGAGAAGCTTTGTAGACTTTCTTCTGTTCTTTTTGCAGAAACAAAGAGCATTGGTTAATGGATTCTGGCAACCCCCTTATAAACACCAAGGAGGCGACTGCAAGTCCTCTTGCTTCCAGTAAACTATGAGTTTCATTTTCACTTTGTGACAATTTGGCACTTCAAAAGTATAAAAGAAAAAATGCTTGAAGGTTTTTATTAGTTCTGCCATGAAACTTCCATTCTATTTTTTTTTTTAATCTAATACTTCAAAACTTAGTATTAAGATGTTAAATCTGTTCTTATAGAGCTGCTGATTGAAAATGTCAGGGTTTTGCCTACATGTTATCAAACTGTTTATATTCTCTTTATGACTGATAAACTCCTAATTTCCAAATGTATGTCCCAAGTTTACCAGCATGCTAATATAACCTCAAAATGATATATTGATCTGCCCTGCCAATGCATGTTGTTCTATTTAAAAGAAATTGCTGTATAGAGCTTTTGGAAGAGTCTTTTCTGTGACCTGAAAGCTGTAAGTACCATAGGCTGGCCCTCCTGTCACCTATGGCTCACGTATGTCTGTGTGATGAACTTGTCTTACTTTCCAAAGTATTCTGCTGCTGCTAAAAACAAAATCATACCACTTAAAACACTCGGGCTTTGGCTTGGTGATCTCTTCTTTTTTATGGGCAAAACCAGAGCTGGAAAAGGCAGCCTCCACCTGAAGAGGCTGAAGCAGATTTTTTCCCTTTTTTTTTTTTTTCTTCCCTTAAAGTTTGCCTGGCACATTATGGGAAGGCTGAAGATCCCGTATCAAGGGCTACTTGAGATGGAGTAGGCAGATATAATGGAAGGGAGCCCAAAGGAACTCACTGCTCCAGAACTACTTTAGGGATCATTGATCCGGCTGTTTTCTTCTTTAAGATGTTTGTGAACTGTGATACTGACCTTTTGCTGGAAGCCTTGAAGGACGATTGTTAGGCTTTTCTTGTGATACTTGCTGTAGTGTCCTAGAAGAGAAGCCAGTGGTACGTCAGATGATCCAGAGCTGCTCATTCCAAATGTTGTTTTATTCAGAGAGAAACTTGAAATAAAATGTGTCGAATGGTCTTTGTTATAAAAATGTCAGGAACGCCACTTCTATTTTTAGTAAGTGTACAGATATAGTTTGTGTGTGTGACTTTTCCTACCAGATTTACCTGGAAAGATACACTAAGGTGGGTAAAGGTGGGGTTTTTTATCACCTTCCAGTACTTAAATACCAGGTCAACCAAACTACTTTAGTAGTAATGCCTGGAAAAATGATGTTTCAACATTTTAACTGTTACAGAAAGATAACCCCAAAGCCTTGAAACCCAGAGGAATTCAGTACAGAGCAGTGCTTGAGAACCAGATGTATTAAGCAAGTGCATTCCGAGAGTTCAGTTGTAAATATTAAGGCTTTATGTAAAATGCAGTGTCCAGTTTATACTGCAGAACTTGAGAAAAATGTTAGGTTTGCACTGTGTGTTGTGGTGCTTTGTACCCGCCCCTGCCTAGAAATAATACTCACATGAGCTGTGATTTTTGCATCCTGCTTGTTTACAGACACTGAGTGTCAGCAAGCATAAAATGCTCTTGAAAATTTGGATGTCTGTATTGGGTAAAAGAATCATTTTGCGTTTTCCTATCTGTTTGTTCTCCTCTGAAATTACAGCGTTGGTTACCTTTTCTCATATTTGTCTCTTATTGTGGCGTTCTACTTCACTTTTATTCTTCCAGAATACTTTCCCTCCATATTTAAGGCTCACAAACTTGTTCAGAAACTTGTTTTAATTGTCACTATTCATGTAGGCATAGTCAACAGCAATATAGGTGTCATTTTCTGAGTTATTATCCAGTCATGTTGTATTTATGTCCTATTTTGTTTGGTTTTGAAATGCACGCCAGCCAAGGAGAGCAGTATTTGTCATACTGTTCCTTCTTAAGCACCATATCTCCAGAGCCTAAACTTTTATATACTCTTTCTCTAGATGTAAATGAGGCTGTGCAGTTTGTCTTGACAAAGCTATTGCACTTGAAGTAGCTACATGAAATACTACCTGGGGCTGCAAGTAGTAGCCTACCCTTTCATTTTCCATCCTATAACTCTGTTTTATGAGCTGAAGAGAAACTTGAGGTAGAGGAAAAATTTTTGTCAGCTGAGTAGTTCTTCAAAATCTTCAACTAAATGTCTTATTTTTAAGAGCACAGTTGCTTTTTTCCAACTTCCAGAATGTATTAAGTTTGAAATGGGAAATTCGGATTTATGTTGACCTGTATTGTGTTCTTACATTTGGATAAGATTATATATGGATGCATATCTTATAGATGGATACAGCTGGACCGTGTATTCGTAAAGAAGCAAAGTATGGAAACTTGTTTAGCCATGGATGATATTCTTAATTAGGACCGAAGCTCAAAAATGCATTTTATCTGTGCTGTGATGGAAGCATCATTTGATATGATGTCATTATACAGCAGCTCCCTCAAGTCCAGCTTACAGAAAACAGTCAGGTGGGACTTGCTGGCTGGGAAGAGACGTTAATGCAGGAGAATCGAAGCTTTGTCCGCTTATCTGGAGTCAGAGGACAGTGTCAATCTTGAGTGAAAGCAAGTAGATCCCAACACTTCGTTGTATTTAAATGTCTTTAAAGACCTGGTGACCATATGTCCCAGCTTGATGGTCCAGAGACCTTCTGTGTGAAGCTCCGTGAGCTGCGTCAGGTCTCAAAGTGCACTTACGTCTCCTCTCAACCAGCACGTTTGCTTGGCAAATTGATTTTTAATTGTGAGTCAGCTCTTATTTGCTTAATACTTCTGTAGCCATCATACCCTGATGGCAGAGAAGAAATTTCACGTGCTCTGTAGAGTGCAAGTAAGTACAGAGCTTCTCTGATTAAACAAACTTCTAAATTTAAAGCTTATGCCAGAAGAGTACCTTTAGGTTTGCTTGGAATGTAGCACCGTTTTTTGTTGGGGCTAGGGGAGACATGCCAAAACCCTGCCCATTTCAAGAAATCACAGTGTTTTCAGTTGCTAATGGCTTTACATAAAGGAACAATCATTTAAGTGTAAAGGATAGAGATTAATGGAAAAAAATGTGGTTTCATTCATATTGCTTCACCTCATTCATTGTTCTCTAAAGAAGCCTTGCCTGCTTGCTTTCCTCTTGTTTTAGCTGGAGATTATTCTTAGCACCAACAACTTGATCCACTCTCTTTTTTTTTTTCTTTTTTTTCCTCCAGCATTGCCATGGCAACTAAAGAAAATATGACTTCGCAGAGAGGGATGTTGAAGTCAATACAAAGCAAGATGAATACCTTGGCTAGTATCCTTTCCTAAAAAATTGTGCTGCCGGTGCATAAGAAGAGGTATAGTACAATTTTTCACTCTGTCATTTGGGGATCAAAATGCTTTGCGACATCAATGGCTGTATAACCCACACTGCTATTGTCGTTAGTGACAAACAGACCATTTTTTTTTTACCAGTCTCACTTGATAATCTGACTGAAGAATCTTAATGATGAATGTGGGGAGTAAGTTGTTCTTACTCAAATTTGAATACTACATATAAATCAATGTAGCTTAGTTGTCAGGTCGAGATCTGCAATGACGTTTCATGGCCTTCCCTGCTGTATGTTTTTGTAAAAGTATAATTTCACTTTACTTCTTGCTTTTTCCTTTGAAGGCTCTCCAGAGCTGAAGCTTGGCATATGTTGCTGCCTGGTGTGGTTTACAGCCCCGAGTATTCACGACCTGAATATTCTCTTGTCTGAGTCTTGTTAAGATTTTGGCTTATTGGTTTCTCTTTACATTTTGTGCTCATGGCTAAAGAGCGTGCTGGATTGTCAAGTCATGCATGTTTGTCGTTTTCCCACTTATTCCTTCCTTTCTGTCATAAGGGCCCGAAGAACAACATTAGCATCATTTGATTAGACAGATTACATCCTGAAGAGCTGTATCTGGGTAACCCATAAATTTCATTACAGTTCTTAGCAACTGGCAAGAACAAAACAATTCAATAAGCTTTGGCCTTAAAAGATTCTTGGTTCCAAAGACATGAAGCTCTGAAACTTATTATCTTGTAGGCAATTGTATTTTGTACATTAAAAGATAGATTTACATCTGCATTATTTTACAGTAGGAGGAGTTCTTCCCTATGTGCTAGACTTGAACAGTGTGTAGTCATGCAACGTGTATGATTTTCTCACTCAAATGGCTTCAGTTGGTCCCTTCACCGGTAACAGAATTCCATTAAATAAATTCCACAGACGTTTCATATAACTGCCCCATATTTTTTTTTTCATTCTCATTTAAGCATAATTATTAAAAGTAACTAAGCCTCACATAAGGGAGATTAAAGTATATCAAACGCTGGTAATTTAGGTGATCAGGCGATGAATTCTGTGTAAATGTGAACTCTTAAACTGTTCTGCTCTCTTTTCTCTGATCGTCTGTGATTAGTGAAGTACAGTTGTAATCCTGCTGACTATCCATCAGGTTTTTTACCTGCATCTACTTTTTCCAGCTTGGGAGTAGTTCTGCATTTCTTGCAGTATTGGGATTTCCACGTATAGAATTTGGGGCTTGTTAGTGAAGATACTGTTTGCTGATACGACCTTGACTCAGACGCCTTAAAGATCGGTTTCCAGCAGTGAACAGCCTGATTCAAAGGATCAACCTTCGGAAACGACGAGATTCCCTCATCTTGGGTGGCATTATTGGCATCTGTACCATCTTACTGCTGCTATACGCTTTTCATTGATGGATGTTCCCCCGTGGACTCTGCTAAACTCATCACCACCATCCCTCTCCCCCCAGTCAAGGAAAAGTGAGCGGGGGAAGCAACAGACTTCGTACAGCCTGCTCGTCGTGGCTGGGAGTATCAGCGTGATGTCTAGAGCTTTTGATGGTAGACTGCGACACTGGTTTGGGGTTGAAGCTGCAGTGTTTCTCCTTCCCTGCCATACATCTTCCTTTGGTTAAATTTTGTGGGATTTGTTTATCTTTAATTCCCTTTCTCACTGTAAGGTAAGCAAATATGGGACGCTTACCAGAACAGGTAGAACAGTTTCTGTGCTCAGCGGTGCTGGGGAGGTCTGTTGTTGGCTGGTAAGTGGAAAAAAATCATTATATTTGCCTTGGGTGGAAACTCAGCAGGAAGCCAGTTTCCCCTGTAGGCCAAGTACTGAACACTTTTGCCCTGTGAGAAGAATATTGCAGCTTTAAGCCGTCGGGTTGCTTTACTACTAAATACATGTTCTGTAATTCTTTTTAACTCATGGTTGAGATACTAGTTATTTCTGCATAATTTGTGCTGTGAAAACTGTGCTTCACACAAATTCCTCAAAGTGTAAAAAAAGGAGAAAAAAAAAAAAAAAAAAAAGGGTTGTTCAGTTCACTTTCTGCACAGAATATGTGCAAACGTTCCCTGTGAGGGACATTTATAAGGTTTCTTGTGGCTTTAAAGGGACTAACAGGTCCCCCGTTGTAACAAGGGAGCACAGTGTCCCAGCAGCTGTTTACTATAGTGTTCAGTCATCTGAAAAGTGACCAAACAGGAGTTCACCTAAAAGTAGCCTTTTGGGTGTAAATACTTGGATTTTGGCTGGCATCATAAAGGTCTTTATAAAGACATGATAAGCAGTTTGAAAAGTCTATATTGTAATTTAGATAAAGTTATTCTAATAGCATTAATATTTTTACACCGTAAGTAGGATATTATCTAAACTGTCAATTGGAAATGAAAATTCTGATGGTTATACCTGAGGCAAATGTATCTGTGAGCAAAAGTTTTGGACATAACTCCTCATAGTAAAGAGTTGAATGTATGAATAGTGAAACAAGTATTATTTACCATTATCGGGGGGGGGCGGATTTTTTTTTTCTGTCCAGACACACAACATGAATCCCGTTGTGTTTGCGTCTCCAAACAAAGCTGACGTCAGGAATGGCTTTGATATTGCAGATTGACAAATTACGGATTTTCCTGCTCTTTCAACAGCTCTTTTCCATCTGTCGTATCGTAACCCAATAAATTCAAACCGAGGCACTGAAATGTCTTTGTAAGAACTTAACTCTTTTCACAATCAATTTACAGTGCTCCTAACAGGTTTCGTGTATGCCATTACCCGCAAACGTCAGATAGTCTCCAGGTTCTCCTCTGGAACAGAGTCTAGCGGGATGGACGCAATTTTTTACTGCTTTTTATAGTGTCTGTTAAGTACCTGTTGGAGGGAGTAGAGACTTGTGCCTGTGTAGTGTGCAAAACCACACTGTTGCGCCTAAAATGTTTGTATGGATTTGAAGGCTTAGTTGCAGACTAATAATTTTGTGCTAAAAAGTCGACAGAGACTTCTAATCAGTCATCTGGTCGTTGGGTTTAGAAAGCATTTGGAATTAATATGTGTAAAACTGTGGGGCTTGTATTTTAAATAAAGGGTGATTATTTGGTTGATTTGGGAATGTTCCTGGTTTGAAATGAAATGTTTATTAAAGGGGTTTATGAAAAACCTCGATGGATAAAGGAGGTTTATTAACGAATCTGTGTGTTGGGAGATCAAACCTCTTCTTGATGCGTTTTCTCTGATTCCACTCCCCTGCACCCCAAGGGACCCTGATCAGCAGTCGTGCTTCTGTTTAGGATTCGTAGGATTTGGTTGCTATATAGTTGGCAATATGAGATCTGCAGTACCGTAAATAAATTCACTTATTTAATCTTATAACCAGTCTTTTTACTGGACTTAATTGATTATTTGATGCATATATTTAATCTTATTGTGTGAAAAAGCTGCTATGGAAAATATGTAGATTATAATAAATATGTAAACATAATTGATTTTTCATGTTATGAAAATGTTATGGAGGAACTGATATATTTTAGTATAAAATAAGGGAAATATGCTGAATTATCTCTGATAAAGCTTTACTGGAAATGGTTTCAGTGTTGGCAGCCCCTCCATGGTTTTTATTTGTATTGGTTTGAGACAGGGTTTTGTGTTGGAAAATGCATTTAATTAACCTTGCAGTTTCCCCTTCATCATCTTCTTGTAGTCCTTTCGCAATGTGAGCGGGCGTTCTGCTTTGCTCTCTGAAGTGGTGTGCTTGCGTACAGCCTGGGGGAAAGACTTGCTAATTCTCCTGAACGTCTCTGATAAGGTGGACCCGCAGTTTGGGCAATGGACTGGAAATGAAAACAGTGGATGGTAGTATTTAATCTCAGCCCCCAAAATACAGGGTTGTATGTCTCCTGTTGCTAAATATGTTCTCTTAAGTTTTTCGTTGTGTGGTTCCTCTTGCTCTAAGGAAAAAATGCGGTTAAAGAAGTCTCGTTTCTGCAATTCCTGGCAAAGTTGCAGTTTCGTGAGTCAACCAAATAGAATTGTGCTAAGAAAATGATTGTTAAGCCACACAAATGAAGCGAGTAAATCCATAATATTTCTAGAGGGCACATCTCACACATACACACACTTTTAAAGTTTCTGCTTTATTCTTGCCAGTACAGAAGCACCTACTTTAAACCTGTCCAACAACCCGTTAGCTCGCCATTCAGACAGTATTGGTAACCTTCGCTGCCGTGCTGCACATAGACGGGAATATTTTTCTCCTTGCTTTTTTGACTTTTTTTTTTAACGTGTTTATCTGATCTTCAGGCGCCGGTTGCTAGAGCAGAGGAATGGCATTCGGGCAACACCCGGTATTGCGTCTTCAGTCAATAGCGAGTGTTGGTGTGGCCGTTGCCCGGACCGCAGCTGCAGCTCATCCCCAGCCCTTCCCAGGAACGTGCTGAGCAGGGACCGAGGCAGAGATTTGCTGTCCTTCCTGTCTCTGGGACCAAGCAGTGCGGTGCTTCTGGTGATGTGAGAGTTCTCCCCTTCCTGGGAAGGCACAACGCTTTTTTATTAACCAATTACTGGTTTCGGGAGCTTTTGGATAGGGAAGGGTGGTATGAATTCCTGCGGGATTCATTCCACTGAATAATCAACTAGAATTTTTCGTTGGTACTTTTAGAAGTCCTTTCTTTTGGACGGTCTTAAGATTACTGTGAGAAGAAAGATCACTTCCTCGCTGGATGTTGAAAATGAAAGACCAAAAGGAGATTTTTAGGTGATGAGAAAGTTTCAGATAAGTTTGTTGAGAGCTTGTGCTCTGGGGCTGTGTCCTCTGAGGAGCCGTCTGCCTGAAGCTCCCCCAAAACTGCTGCACAGGGAGCGAAGTCTGGGCCACCACTTCTGATTGTGTGACTCATTTAGTCGGGACTGTTTTAACTCTCGAAGCCCGGCAGCTTGTTTCCCAGGATCACTTGATGCATAACCTTTTCCTATTTTTACTTCCCCCCCCGCCCCGAGTTTTCATTTGAAACAGGAAGGAGAGGTAACAGCTGCATCGCTTCTGAAGGAGGAAATAATTCCGAAACTCCTCCTAACAATACGGGATTATGAAATCCTTCAGAGCAGTGTTCCTGTTGAGCAATGTGCAGTACAGGAGACGACGGTGAAAGACATACTGAGACAAAACTGAGCCATACTCTAGGTGACATCTGCAGGTCCTCTCGGTGCCCTGTATCTCTCCTGTCAACTGGATATTTGAAAGCCGTGGTGGTGCTTTCGGTTCTGAATGCGTAAGCGGCTGTTGGTCTGTCTACTACTGAGTGAGGAAAGCAGTTTAAATAAACACTCGAGACAAAAGATAAAACCCTTTCTCACAAAATATCCCAGTCCGGACCCTTGTAAACGAGTTTCTGATTGCACTTTCTGATTCGTTGCTTTTCATATAGCTTCTTGAAACTTATTTTATTGTAACTGTAATTATTTTTGTTCTCACCTATTGTGCATTCTCTGTATGTATTAAAAGAAGCTTTGATATGTAATTTAATAATAAATTAGAATTCTAAGCAGGGTGCTTGGTTCTTTCCCCGTGACAATCGTTGCCTACCTAAACTTTAGGGAAGATGCAGAGAAGATTCATCTCTCCGGTTTGGGATTGTCACTGAACACGTGAATTAGTGCATTCTCCAGTTTTGTACCAAATACCAGATGTGATGGAGCATTTCCTGACCCAAAATGCTCCGTCTGGTGGAACGTGTTCCTCCTGCCTGTGTCTGCAGACCTGGGCTCCCCTTCTCCCCTTCTGTTTCAGGCATCCACGTTGAAAGGGGCTGAATACAGTCGTGAATCTTTTCTTGCTGTTCTTTGACAAGTGGAACAAGGATGCATTTCTTTACAGGTAAGCTTTAAAAAGTATTCTATATATCCATAGTATAAAACATTTAATTCCCAAATGCACACCGAAATGGTGATTTGAAGAGCCTTCTCAGCATAAGGTGCCTCCCCCTCTTTTTAATATACTTCTCAGTAATTTGGTACCATTCCCCCCCACCATTCTGCAGTCACAACACAAACACCAAAAATAAGTCAATACTTTGAAGGTGGTACAAGCAATTGTAAATACTCCATGAGCTTCTAGCATCGTTTTCTAGCCATGCTGCGGTCTGCACCGCCTCCATCCTCAGGCGTTCAAACCAGGCAGCGTCACGCCTGAAGGACCCATCTGTATCTGGTGGTTTTGCGATTGGTGATAAATCTTTCAATGCCACTCGAAATTTATTTTCTCAAACAAGAAAATCTGCCTGGCGGTGTGATACCTGTCTATTTGCATAAGGCTCGGAGCGGAGAGAGGTAGCTCTCTCCATTTCAGAGCTGTCGTGCTGCGCCTGCGGTGCTGCTTTATAGCAGAGAGAGATTTCTGTATCCTTAATGCGCCTAC